TATATGGATGTTGTAATTCTTTCAAAACTTTGGTAAACTCACATTCACGAAAAATGTGCTAGAAAGAGCTCCAAAGGTAGGGTAAACGGCCTCATTTCTAAGCAAGATTTTTTTTGACCTTGTCTAGATGAGCCAAATAACTATCCTACACATATATTCTATATACACAAACTATGTGCGCTGGTTTTTCCTTTTTTTGATTTTTTTTAAATTTTGTTTTGCTCATTTGAATTCTGGTCAAACCTAACTTTGACCAAGATTTAAACAAGTCTAAAATATCAAAATAAAAAACTAAGCCTGGATCCTTCTTAGTCACTCCAAAATAAAGCTGTGGTGAGGTTTTTGAAATTTTCACAAAAAATGTGCTAAAAAAAGAATCCAAAGGTAGGGTAAATGTCCTCATTTCTAAGAAAGGTTTTTTTCGACCTTGTCTAAATCAGCCAAATAATTTTCCTACACATATATTCTATATATACAGACTATATGCGCTGGTTTTTCCAATTTTTGATTTTTTTTAATTTTGCTCATTTGAATTCTGGTCAAACCTAACTTTGACCAAGATTTAAACAACTCTAAAACATCAAAATGAAAAACTAAGCCTGGATCCTTCTTAGTCACTCCAAAATGAAGTTGTGGTGAGTTTTTTTTTGAAATTTTCATGTTCATTTCCCCAAAACACTTCTCTTCACTTCATGAGAGTTTGAGATACTTGAGATATCACATGATACACATGAACTTTTCCTTTAAATGTATGTAAACCTTGTTTATCAACATAAATCGCTAGTATATGACATAAGAAGACTATGTGCGCAGATTTTTTCATTTTTCTATTTTTTATTTAATTTATTATGCTCATTTGAAATCTGGTCAAACCTATATTTGACTGCTCCAAACCCCTCCCAAACCCCGCTAACCCTAGCGCTGAACAGGGACCGTCCATCTAACCCTAGCAGCGATCAAGGACCATCGATCTAAACCTTCTAGAAGATATCTACGGGGAGAAGGGGGCGATCCACGAGATGCAATCTGATTGGCTAGGCTTTTTTTTTCTCAATAGGTATCAGGCACGCTGGATAGACCGTTGGCCCGCCTCTTTGTCTGGACCTAAGCGCAGTTAATTGCCCATTTCAGCCTTTCCAAGCCTGCATGCATGGGAAGGGCGGCGACGTGAGGAGGCGGACGTGCATGCATGCGAGCGAGGCGAGCGATGTGGCCATACACGTATTGATTCAGAATTGCATTGTTTCAGATAACGGCAGTGAGTTAGATGCACGCGCCCGGTCAAAGAGCTCCATGCGGTGATTCAGATGCACGCACGCGCCCCATGCATCATTTCCGTGCCAAAATTTAAGGGTTCATAACTTAAAGGATACACATACGCGTCCGGATTCACACACGTACCATTATAATCCCTTGTTTCTTCATCTCCCTCCCACGGGCCTATTTATATGGGGTGTCTCTCTTCCTCTCCCACTCACCATCCAAAAGCTAGATCCATTCTCTCCAACTTCAAACACCCAAGCGACCGAGCCCTCCTTCGACCACCTGTCGTGCCGGAGCTGCGCTATCCACTGGGCGTGCTCGTGGAGAGGCAGCTCCGTGTGTGGGCGACTTCAAGGTGGAGGGGGTCTGTCGACCTCACCCGCGCCTTCCTCGGAGTCGGCTATGCCCACCTCCCACGGGGCTCGCCTAGGATGTACACCATCAACGAGGTTCGTGACCGCATCGGCATCCTCCTACTGCTTACGGTCACCTTCACCAACCCATTTGACGCGCGCGAGCTCCTGGGCCAAGTGTTTTGGTGCGGCTGCGAGTCCATCTTCACGGTGTACAACATCTTCACCAACTACGAGTGCATCTTCCCCACTGAAAACCAGATGCACTCCCTTCCCTACAACGATGAGGAGGAATGAAGTTGAAGACGGTGTTGAAGGGGCGTGCGGCCAAGGTGGAAGAAAGGTCAAGATGAAGATGTTCAAGAAGGGGTGCGAGCCCGGAGTGAAGTTTGTTCGTCAAGCTCGTCATATTTTAGCTTTACCGTTTTTATTTTGTTGCTTTTCTATGTCGTGTGTGCCGTGTCGTGTCCTTGGACTATGTAGGGTACCCATCTATGTAAGGGTACGTGTGTTGCATCTTATCTATCCAAGTTATTATGTGTGTTCAAAAATGTTTGTGCCCAAACATGCACATTTCTTCCCTAAACCAAGTCATGAATTAATGTGCATATTTATGCCCTTTAAATCCTAAACCAAGTGCCACTCTAATCAGAATCATGTGGCAGTGCAAGCATACGTTTCCAACCCTTCAAAATTTCAGTTCAAAACAAAAGAAAACCACTCTCAGCGCGTGCAAATATTCAGTACAAACATGTGTTTTTAAATCCTAAACCAAGTAACGGTCTCACTATTTATAGCTTCCTTCCCTAGGCATGTCAAAGTCTTTCCATCTGCCCTAGCGGTTACCAGCGCAGCCCTAGATGCCACAAACCCACGCGGTCTTGGGTTCGAGTCCCAGCTGCACCAATTTTTTGCTCTTAAATATTTAACAGCTTCAAAAAAATTCTAAACTTAATTGGCTCTAAAATAATTCAATTAGCTTCCACAAAAAGTTTCAGCATTAAATAAAATGATTTACTGCCTAAATTAAATCAGAACAAAAAACAGAAAAACACGCAAGAGATCTCATTTGCCCACCCTCGAATGGGCCTATTTGGATGCAGTTGGCCCATTAGTCTAGCCGGCACTTGGCTCTCCGCTCTGAATTTGGCCCAAAAAGGAACCTTTTTTTGACAGAAAGGCAGAGCAGAGAGCTGCATTTCATTGATTTCTGAATTTCTCATTTCTTCTCCCTTTTTTTAACATTTTTAAATATTGGTCATTTCTTCTCTTTTTTCAACATTTAAACAACTTTGACCAACATTTAAACAAGGTGAATTTCTCATACAATTTCAAGCTTACAAATTCCTCCATAATTCATGCCTTTCCATACAATTTCAACATTACACCCAGTGCGATTACCGTAGCTACAAATGCCCAAAAGTAATTGCAAATGGGTATTTATGCTTGATCTTCAAGCTTCCTAACCTTCTTCTTCAACATCCTAAACTCAACAGCAACAGCTAGCTCTCTGTCAGTGCGTGCTTCGCCCTCCATCTCTTCTTCCGGAGCTCGTGCTGCCGCCACTGTCGTTCGGGGCAGCATGCGCAACCATTCTTCATACTCTTCTTGCAGTTCATTCATCAGAGTCTTGGCCAAAGCATCGACCCAGAGGAAGAAACATTTCACCTGCATGAACGCCAAACAGATGAACCCATCGCTCAAAGATCCCGATCATGAAAATGGTGCAAATGCCCCGATTCTTACCCCATTCTCCCTGCACACGTAGAACGGACGATTCTTGTTCCTCGGTGTGTGAGAAATCCTCCGATCAACGGCCCACCAACACCGTGGACAGACGAAGATAGGCATCTCCACGCGCGTCGGGATCTGCATCCGTGAGGTGGCGCGGGAGCTTGAAGAAGACATGGAGCTCGGAGCCGAAGGGGATCTCAACGCCGCCGCGCCCTCCACAGCTATCTTCCAACCGCCTCTCTCTCTCTATCGCCGTGGTCACCACCGTGTTGTGTGTCGCCCGCTCTCCCTGTCGCCGTGGTCACCGCGTGCCGCTCTCTGTCGCCCGCTTATATAGCACACCCGCAACGGCTCTCTGCTCAACGGCTCTTTGCTGGGTTCCACAAGCCACGCGTGCACCGGTCTGATCGTCTAGCGCGTCTCTGCCGCCTGGTCCCACCTGTAAGGGCTGAGTCAAAAGGTTGACCTGACGGAGACGCCAGTTTTCACGGAACGAGTTGGTGTGGGCACACTAGGGGCAAAACTGAGCAAGTGGACACGACTGAGGGCAAAAGGATAATTAACCCAAAATTATAAGCATGTTGGTGAAATTGAATAAGCATTCAGATTTCGAAGTATATGAATATATATTGCAATATAGTGAAACAATAATATTATGCATAATTAGATGCATGCAATTTATTTGGAGTCATCTAGGCTCGGATTAAAAACGAAGTTATAGATGTGTGTGTTATCCCATAAATTTGGGAAAATGAAATCTTAAACTAACATTAGTTTCACGTAGAAGTAATAGTCTCCATCATTTCATTTTTCCCAATTTATGTGGTAATGTCAGGCACTCCGTTTTTTCTTTTCGAGATTTACAATGAAAGGAGAAGCATTTTCTTTCAGGGTTAAAATTAGTAGTCTTGTTTTTTTACCAAACGTGATATTTTTGTTTCTATGGCAGCATAATGAGTCTCTACTTTAATTTAATTCGGGAATAAACTAATTTACTTATCAGTAGAATGTCAATTAAATGGACCTACAATCTTCATTAGAGTAAAAATGGGTATACCTAGCTTTATGTATGGACTTTGCCCAATAATGTGATCTTTTACTAGGATGAGATGGTACATCCTATTTTGATTTTCAGAACGCTAAAAGATTCGTGAGGACAACAGCTCACCAGAGTGCGCGCGGTATAACGTTGCGCGATGCTTTCTTGTGCATGCCAACCTGCAGATCTCACTCATACACTTGATCCAATCAGCTGTCTCCAAGGAGATCCTAGTCACAGCTACTTCTAGCCACAAGCTCACGGCGATAACATTTCCTGGCTCCCATTGCGTCAAGTGTTCTGAGAACAAGAGATTGGTGCAGCACCAATGGCATCGAAGCTGCAGATTTTTCTCCCTATCCATCTTTATGTTGTCAGCTTACACACCAAATCGATGCCCTATGCCACCTCCGTTGCCATAAGTAGCTACCTTCCCTCTCATTTCAAGGCATCTCCACACTCACTCATCTCTTGTAGAACCCATACAGCCGACACTTTGCTCAGCCTTCCAATGGCGATCACCACCATGTCCCTCTCCTCCTCCACCTTTGCCGGCAAGGCGGTGAAGAACATGTCGTCACCGGCTCTCTTCGGCGAGGCTCGCTGTCACCATGCGCAAGACTGCAGCCAAGGCGAAGCAGGTTTCCTCTGCCAGCCCATGGTATGGTGCCGACCGTGTGTTGTACCTTGGCCCACTCTCCGGTGAGCCCCCGAGCTACCTCACCGGTGAGTTCCCTGGCGATTATGGTTGGGACACTGCCGGACTTTCAGCTGACCCAGAGACCTTCTCCAAGAACCGGGAGTTGGAGGTGATCCACTGCCGTTGGGCCATGCTTGGGGCACTTGGTTGTGTCTTCCCTGAGTTGCTCGCCCGCAACAGCGTCAAGTTTGGTGAGGCCGTTTGGTTCAAGGCCGGCTCCCAGATCTTTAGTGAGGGTGGTCCCGACTACCTCGGCAACCCCAACCTTGTGCCGCGCAAAGCATCCTAGCTATTTGGGCATGCCAAGTCGTGCTCATGGGTGCGGTCGAGGGGTACCGCGTTGCCGGGGGCCCACTTGGCGAGATTGTTGACCTACTATACCCAGGAGGCAGCTTTGACCCTCTCGGCCTAGCTGACGACCCCGAGGCATTCGCCGAGCTCAAGGTGAAGGAGATCAAGAACGGTCGCCTCGCCATGTTCTCAATGTTCGGCTTCTTTGTCCAAGCTATCGTCATGGGCAAGGGCCCACTTGAGAACCTCGCTGACCACATCGCTGACCCAGTCAACAACAACGCATGGGCGTTTGCCACCAACTTTGTCCCCGGCAAGTAAGATGTCTTAAAGATTATGCACACCACGAAGCATGTTGTTGTGCGGTTTGAGTTGTACTACCATAATGTATATTACGAGAATTTTGTGCGAAAACAATGCAAGATTTGTCCGCCTTCAATGTTGTGACTTGCAAGATTTGTCGGCCTCGCTGAAACAAATAAATACTTTGTCATGCGCTTAATTAACTATTACTTCGTGGGTTCGGAATTACTTGTCACTCAAATGGATAATTTCGGACGAACGGATGTGTCTGGCACTAAAATACATCCATTTGAGCCACAAGTAATTTCTGATAGAGGAAGTATCATATTGTGCTCAGATGAGTGACAACTTATAGAATCGTGTGTGTCGTTAAATTTGTGGAGCCTGAACGAGGGAAATACTAGTATTTTTTTTTCATTGAAGATTTCGGTTTTGTGTTTACTCTCCACACCTTTGATCAAGGCAACCATCTGAAGTGATCTCTATTCATCTCGCTCAGTTGCAAGGGCCATGATTTATTTTCATTTCATAATTTGCAACAAAACAGAGGGTGTCCAATTATACAGCATCAATGATTTTTTGGATCTATCTGCATTTTTACTTTATGATTTGGACAAGTTAGAGACACATACACATTGATCTTGTAACCAATAATGGTTGTCTCGCCACGTTTTCATGTTTGGCTTCTATGCGCACATGCCATCGTCATAGGGGAAAGTATTGTTAGATTTCTCCATCGAAGAAGTACCTCCGTGCTATTACTTGAAATTTATCAAACCTGTCATAAAAGCACCCATTGTTACTTTCTTAGTTAATCCAAAGATGAATGCAAGTAGGTCTATAGTATATGAAGCCAAATTAAGTCCGGTCCAAACCTGACAGCTAGAACATTATTGCATCATATATGATCATCCCCATGTCCCATGTCATGATCACCACTTTTGCCTGATGTTTTGCTGCCCCTAAACCTACCAGACTATTCTTTCAGCAAATGCAAATCAACTAAGAAGTACCAAACTCCTAGATGTTTTCATGTTTGTTTTTTTTTTTGCGAAAAACTTTCAATCTATTCATCTTCAATCATGGCAGTACAACGAACACCAGAAATAAAAATTACATCCAGATCCGTAGACCACCCAGCGACGACTACAAGCACTGAAGCGAGCCGAAGGCACGCCGCCGTCAACACCCCTCCATCGCCGGAGTCGGGCACAACTTGTTGTAGTAGATAGTCAGGAAGTCGTCGTGCTAAGGCCCCATAGGACCAGCACACCAGAACAGCAACCGCCGCCGATGAACAATAACGTAGGTTGGAAGGATTCAACCCGAAGACACACGAACGTAAACGAACAACGACGAGATCCGAGCAAATCCACCAAAGATAGATCCGCCGGAGACACACCTCCACACGCCCACCAACAATGCTAGATGCATCGCCGGAACGGGGGCTAGGCGGGGAGACCTTTATTCCATCTTCAGGGAGCCGCCACCGTCTCGCCTTCCTGAGCATGACACAAACCCTAACAAGACAGGAAAAAACGACTGACAACGGAGCCCTCCCGCCGGCCCTTGGTAGGATCCACCGCGCCCCCATGGCCCTAGGGCCGCCGGAGACGAGGCGGACCTGCGGCGGCGCCGGCGAGAGGCAGAAACCCTAGCTTTCTTTCTTGGAGGAGGAGAGTTGTGTCTTAGTTGCGCTAGATGTTTTCATGTTGATGCAGTGCTTGACCAATCATGTTATTATCATACCCAATTTCACCACACAACTAATTTTGATCATTTTCACCCGATACATTGCCTCAATCATAGCATGTAACATCAATAAGAGAGAGTCCAATATGGTATCTACCTCAACTAATTGCCCTCCTCCAGACCCAACCAGCCATAGCAAATCCTTCAACCTCCTTTGTCTCCAGTATATATTACAAGCACCCGCTCCTTGCTATCATAACAAAAAAAAAAAGCGCTGCTACACACACAACAGATATAGGACGATCACCGCACGACGCTACACATCAAGCCGTCCATGCGTTAGAGCAAAAGTAGATAGCACAATTCATTCTTTCATCATGTAGTAGTTTCATAGAAAAAACTCCCCAGAGCGCAGACGTCTACGCTTATGAAATTGCGGTGGATGGCAAATTATTGGAGCCAACGATGGGTGGGCATCCACCTATAGATCAACACGGGTGTCTCTGTTTTGTGCTAATTTTATTATAAACAAATAAAAAACTATTGTTATTCTTCGGAAGGCATATAGGAGTACATAGACATTAAAATGTACTTTTACAAAAGGTAGCTACCAAAATATTGTAAATAAATAAATTTTGCACAATATAACTGTTGTTGCATGATCATC